GCTGCTGTGGGTGAGAAGCCTAAAGCCCCACCTACTGGGAGCTTCTGCTTTTCTCCTTTACCTGGGGGCATCAGGGTGAGTGTCATAGGGGATGTGGAAGCTCCTTTAAAACAATGACCTGGTCTAATCTCCTCTTTATACAGGTAGGGGGGAAGGAGACTTGATGGGGCACTGATATGTTCACTGTCACACTTGTTATCTGATTAAAATAGTTCAGCTGACTTACCTGTAAAATAATCACAGTTTTCTAACAAGAAGATTAAGAATATATTGATATGTTCGGAAAATACTAAAGAATGTAACAATATAACAAAATGACTAAGAGAAGCAAGACCCCACATTTGACATTAAAATGTTATCACCCAAACCTAACCTTTCTACACCGAAGGAAATTTTACAAAAGAGGTATGACTTGAGAAATAGGATTTTCTTTTATTTTTTTTCTTTAGTTTAGAAAAAGTCTCTAGAATACAGAAAAGTATAGAGAATAATTAAAAACTCTACCATGGACACATGTTAAACTTTTGTCTTCTTTGAGATATATATGTATCTGTGGCTCATAAACTCAAGAGAGTGAACTACAAAAGTTCAGTAGCTTTAAATCAGGAGGATCTCCATGAGGATGAATTATATTGTACTGTGAGGTCCTAATGTTAGATAACACAGAATATATATAATAGGTATATATGATATATATATATATGTATATACATATGATGCAAAGAAGACAAAAATACATATATTTAAATTTTTAATAGTTTAAAACTATAGTACATTTTATATATTTATAGTTATTATTTATAACATACATTTTAAATATATTCATATATTTATATGTGTGTTTAAATGAAAGAAACAAAACATTAGGTACAATTGAAGTCCTCTCTATATTTCTTTTTAACTCATTCCTCTCCCTCCACCATTCCTAGAAGCAAACACACTCATGAATTTAACCTGGACTCTCACGTCCCATAGACATAGTTGTTAAAATAATAAAAAGATTTATTTGTTAAGAGAGGCAGTTTTAGCAACTTGAAACCTTTGAACTAGATTCCTAAAAGTAAAGGCCTAGGATTTTTTTTGGATTTCTTGAAATAACTACTACAAACACTACTATGGTTTATTATTTTATTCCTTGGATCCTTATGCAGAACTTCATTGACTCAAACTTATTCAACAAGATGTACTTGGTTAAATGATCTAGAAGACACAGGAAAGGCTGTTAAATTCAGAGTCATGAGAGCAAAGGTGACAACTACTGTCCTGATACTGAAGGAAACAAACAAAAAAATACACCGGAAACTGGATATATGCATATATAATATTGAATAGAGAAAATGTTAAAATTATATTAGGGAGGCAGAAATACATCTTTTAGAAAGATTTCCATCAAAAATTATTGAGATTTTAAAAAAATGTCTAATGCTTTGGGGCTCTGACAGTCATGCAGTTCATTCTGGCTGTGTCACTTATTAGTTGGATGACCTTCACCTCCCTGTATGCAGGTCCTCCCAGTATAATGGGAATAATAATAGTACCTACTACATAGAGATGTTGTTAAAATGAAGTGAGATGTTCCCTGTAAAGTGTTAGGAACATGCATGTTAGTTGCTGGTAGTAATAGTAGTAGTAGTAGTAATATCTGGAAAACGAGTCCATGAGGAAGAGTTCATAACCTGGTATGTGGAGGGGGCACAAATTCTGGAGCCTCTGCACCTCTTTACCAGCTGTGTGGGCTTGGGGACAATGACAGTACAAAGGTTCTAGGGCTGCTGTGAGCATTCAGTGGGTATGGAAGATGCTTAGTGCCATGTTCTAAGAACATGCTCAATCAACATTAGCTGTTAGAAATATTCCAGATAGATAATACCTTAGTATTCTTAAAGCGCATCCTAATTTTATTTATTTATTTATTATTAGTTTTTTACATCTTTATTGGAGTATAATTGCTTTACAATGGTGTGTTAGTTTCTGCTTTATAACAAAGTGAATCAGTTATACATATACATATGTTCCCATATCTCTTCCCTCTTGCGTCTCCCTCCCTCCCACCCTCCCTATCCCACCCCTCTAGGTGGTCACAAAGCACCAAGCTGATCTCCCTGTGCTATGCGGCTGCTTCCCACTAGCTATCTATTTTACATTTGATAGTGTATATATGTCCATGCCACTCTCTCACTTTGTCACAGCTTACCCTTCCCCCTCCCCATATCCTCAAGTCCATTCTCTAGTAGGTTTGTGTCTTTATTCTTGTCTTACCCCTAGGTTCTTCATGACATTTTTTTTTCTTAGATTCCATAATTATGTGTTAGCATACGGTATTTGTCTTTCTCTTTCTGACTTACTTCACTCTGTATGACAGACTCTAGGTCCATCCACCTCACTACAAATAACTCAATTTCATTTCTTTTTATGGCTGAGTAATATTCCATTGTATATATGTGCCACATCTTCTTTATCCATTCATCCAATGATGGACACTTAGGTTGCTTCCATCTCCTGGCTATTGTAAATAGAACTGCAATGAACATTTTGGTACATTTCTCCAAAGAAGATATACAGATTGCCAACAAACACGTGAAAGAATGCTCAACATCATTAATCATTAGAGAAATGCAAATCAAAACTACAATGAGATATCATCTCACACCGGTCAGAATGGCCATCATCAGAAAATCTAGAAACAATAAATGCTGGAGAGGGTGTGGAGAAAAGGGAACGCTCTTGCACTGCAGGTTGGAATGTGAATTGGTACAGCCACTATGGAGAACAGTATGGAGGTTCCTTAAAAAACTACAAATAGAACTACCATATGACCCAGCAATCCCACTACTGGGCATATGCCCTGAGAAAACCATAACGCATCCTAATTTTAAGGTGCAGGAGCAAGCTCACAATTACCTCACAGCAAGAAGTCAAGGAAAACTAGGGGATCAAATTGCACTGATTTGTTTATCCAGGAGCACCCTTCTGTCAAGTTCAGACGACTATATGCAGTCATTGCTATAAATACAGCCCTGTCTGCACTCAGCTCTGCAGGAGTATAAGGAGATCCAAAAGGTGGTCTCTTTTTCCTTGAAAAGAGGTGACTAAACTCCCTATGAGATTCTTACTGATAAGATCACCAAGAGAGGGAGGCCTAGAAGATGCTCTTAAAAATAGACTAGTGCATTATGAAACAAGCACTTTATTGTTCCGAAGCACTTTCACACACATTAAAGCCTCTAACCCTCACAGCCACCCTAGAGAAAGGAGGTATCATCCCCATTTCTCAGAGGAGGCAAGTGGGGTACAGAGAATTTAAGTGACTTGCTCAAAGTTCCCTTATTAGTAAGAGGAAAATCCAGCTCTTTCTTGCTCTGTTACTTACTAGTTGGGTGTTCAGAACTTTTATCACACATGCATGGCCTTACGGAATGCTCCTCACTGGCATGTACTTGCCATTGTGGGAACCGACTTTTTGGTTACCTTATTTCTTTTAGTCAGCTTAACTCTAAATCCCACAGCCTTACCTATTACATCATAGATGTAGTATGCATGTGTGCACGTGTATAAACACACACGCACACCCCATGCACACATGTAAGTACATGCTGGAGGACAACTGAGTTTTGTTTTCCTGTTTTATTCTTTCTAAGTGTACTTTTAAAAGATGAAAATCTTAGGTAGAGGTTGAAGACTGATGTGATTCAGAAAAATTTGAGTATGCTAAATCACTTTTTTGGACTGCAGTCAGAAATAATTCAGTCCCAACAGAGGGGGAAAAAAGGGTTTTCCACTTTAAATGAACCATGTTTTCTTTTCTGAAAACATGATTTAATTTCTTTTATAAAAGAAGAGCGAAAGAACTTTTGTTGTCATCTCCAGCTGTCAAACCTGCCTCCCGTACTTTTGCCCTGAAGCAAAAGGAAGGGACATCAGGTGACAAACCCCAAATTTCAACTAGTCACACAAATTACAGACCTTCCTATCATGATATCCTCTTGACTTTCTGCCTTTCCCCTACAGTGAAGAAGAGACACAGTTTAAGTCAAAATGACTCTCATGGGCAATTTTACAAAGTGAATAGAAGGCACAGAGTCTCCCTCTCCCCCTCCGCCCACTTCCCCAGCTTCCCCCTCTGGGCCAGCCTGTTCCCTCTTTCCAGGCAGGCTGCAGCTAATAATCAGAAAGACCTTTCCCACCCCAGACAGTGATGCTCTGCTTGCCAAGGGCCCTGTTTGCTTTGAAGAAAGAGTTTGACAAAGTAAATATTTACAAAAACGACTATAATCGGATGCCAAGTCCCACTTCGAGGGGACAGGCAGAGAAGTATTTTCAAGAAAGGGTTTCTCCACGTGGCACCACACTGCCCGGTGGTGGGGACTGATCCAAGCTCTGTTCCGGGTTTATCATGAGTCCAGGCATATCACAGTCTTTCTCTTAGCCTTTTAACTTCCATGCTAGGAACTTTCCACAGAGTAATGAATAATTTCATTTACCGCTGAAGAGTCAATTCAGAAATGTACTAATTCGGGACCACGGGGAAGTCTTCAAATATTACTGCTTTTAGCAGTAGGGGAAAGCTTCATGAAGTCAACAGGGAAGAGATTAAAGGCAGGGTTAATTAGCACTCAGGAAATGTCATTATTTAAAAAATATATATTTTTGAGATAGACCACTTACTGGCTAAAACCTGTAGATCTGTTACCTAGAAACTGTGGAACCTGAGAGCTCGAACACAGTGAGAATCAAAACAGGTGCGCCTGCCTGTTCCCATTATGCACATTAGCCCATGGCCTTCGCACAGCCTGTTAAACAGCTGAATCTGAAACAATCATGGTGCAGGCCAAACACTAGCCTGAAGGCCTGTCTGTCTTGGGATTTGGCCATTTACATTGATTTTTTTTTTTTAACCCATGTGTTTCATGAAACACAAATATTTGCCATGACAACTGGGGTGTCACATGACATACTGCTACATAAAAAGCTTGGAAATCTCTTAAGGGGAAACAGCCCACCAGTGCTGCAAATACCGTGAAAACATCTTGAGGAAGATGTGGGCATTAAAAGATGAAGGTCTGGAAAGAACAGGTAACAGTTTACTATGCAGACATAGTAGGATTAATTTCTTCTGTGCCACTCTTCAATTTCTTTTTCTTTCTTCCTTTCTTTTTTTTTTTTTAAAAAAATGGGAGCAGCTGTAAACATGACCACATAGGGTAAGCCCAGAAAAAAAAAACTCTGCCAGCTGTCTCGTTCTGTGGTGAAAAGTTTCAATTATTACTAGTCTGTCTTGTGGCTCATAAACATAAGAAAGCAAGCTACAAAAGTCCAGCACCTTTAAACCAGGATAATCTCCATAAGGATGAGCATGTTGTACTGTGAGGTCCTAATGTTAAAGAATACAGATTTCCTTTCCCTTCCGCATTAAGGTATCTGTACAAAATCGGGGAACTTGCTTTATTATCCTATGCTTAAAGATAAATGAAACCTCACAATAACATACCCTATGCAACACAAATTTGAATATAAAGCAATAGTTTTGTATTCTGGACTCCTGGGCGCTTGACCAGCTAGCAGTAGAGATTGACTCAGTCATTTAGTTAATCTCGAAATAATGCAACATGATGGAATTTTTTAGATCCTACTGATATTGTCATGGTAGAGTTTACCTGCATAACAATCTTCCCTTTTAAAATCAAATGCATTCCAGCAGCAGCTGAAATAATATTTATTTCTATGTGAAAGGTACAGCTCGATAACATGTGCGTATTACCAAAAATCTCACTGAGAATATTGTAAATCAGAACAATTTTCTTTCGTTAGTTAGGAATATGAATACCTTTGATCTTTGTTTCCTGAGAGAGGGATTCTTCACTTCCGCTGGAATCGATTGTGTTCTCTGGGGTGTAGCGAAAGGGGCTGTGGATGGAAGTGGTGCAATGTTACCTCTTCCAGAAAGAGAGACTTATTCATTGGGTTGATGCTACTGGGTTTGCACCTTGAAAGTCAGATGGCTCTGTCACCCATTCACTGTTCACTACCAGTCGTTCTTGTATCAATTCAATGAAACATTTGTGATAATTGACTTCAAAAGGAAAGCAAAGAGCTTGGAAGGGCAACAGTTCCATCAGAACATAAGGTCAGCTTCCCTTATGCAAATCTCCTAGAGGAAAAGGCAGATTTTAAAAGCAAGCAATTTAGAGAGTTATCTTTGTCTTATATGATGTTTCGCTATAAGATTTCTTTAAATAGCCGTATTCCCAAGTTCACTTAAAAGGTAAATAAATATAACTATATAAGATGGACTATTCTAATGTATAGTCATTTAAAAAGAAAATTCTAAAGAATTAAAATGGCTTCAGGTAAATAAAACAAGTGAAAAACACAAGTAAATATTATTTTTGAAATGAATTAAATCTATAAGCAGCAACTTTTGGAGAACACATTTAGTCCATGGGGGGTAAGCCTACGTGCTAGACAATGCTTGGAAGAGAAATGGAATCTCTCCTGTTGCCTGGCAGCAAACCCAACTGCCCTTTACAGAAAAGCTCAAATTTGGCATTCTCAGGAGAGAAAAATCCTTACCCTACTCTAAGAAAGAGAAGAAATAATTTATTTAAATAGTTAATTCAGTCAAGGAAGTGAGGCTTCTTTCAACTCACTTCCTTACTCCACCCCTTTTCTGTCAGTTCTCTAACAACAATGTTAGAAAGAACTGACAGATATTCATTAAATACAACACATCAGTATACGACTTAGAATTCCACTTTGAGGACTCAGTTCTCTCACATTGCCTCAAGTGGGCTGCAAGGAGTATCTTCAGCCATCTCTTTAAAAGTAGCAGGTAGTCCAGAGTCTTAGCACAAAAAAAATCACCTCCACAGAAGACATTTGTTGCATTGGACCAACCCCGTTTTACCGTCTTCCTGGTTTCCCTGTCTTCCAGCGATCCTCCAGGACTGTGAGACTGCCCACCAACTTCCCTAAGGCTGGGCGATTGGCTATACAGTCGGTCCTCTGTATCCATGGATTCTGCATCCGCGGATTCAACAAATTTCCATCCGCGGTTGGTTGAATCCACAGATGCAGAACCCGGGAATACAGAGGGCCAACTGTGCAATGCCATACTATAGGAGGGACTCGAGCATCCGCAGATTTGAGTATCCACTGGGGGTCCTGGAACCAATCCCCTGAGGATAGTGAGGGACAACTGTAGTGTGTGAAGACTCCATTTTCATCCTACAAGTTTTTGCCTTGACTTCTGTGCTGTCCTACCCCACTGTCCACTTGAACCTGGCTCTCCCACTTTGAAGGTCAGTTCACACCGTATACCCAGGCTACTGTGAGTCCACAGATTCACCCATAAAGCCTGTTATTCCTATTATCTGCAAGCTCAGTACACTTTTTGTTTAACTTTCAGGTTCCTGCAGACAAATGAGATTTATGGTTAAATTCCCGTGATGAAACAAAATAGCAGCTGAGAAGTGGGCATGATTTTTAAAGGAATTTATTAAAATTTCAGTAAAATTTGGTAGAATGAAGATCTAAAAGATTTGTAATTTCACATGGATAATCCAGTTAATGGTATCTCTAAAAAATTATTTTGAGGTTTTTCTTAGTTACCTGCAGAAATTCTATCATTAAATGTATAACTTCATGTAGCCTTGGATTTTATGGGACACATGCATTTGAAAAATGTGCCTGCATCCTAAGGCACTGCCTGTTTTGCTACTCAGTTTCCCTTCTGGAAAAATCTGTTGGATAAATTTTGCCAGTGTCAGTGTCAGGGAAAAAAATCTTGTCTTTCTGGAGAAATTTGTATGTTTCTGTGGTAGTTATTGGCATGTGCCTCCCAAGAAGCCACCCCCCCCTTCTTCCTTGCGGATTTTAGAACCTCAATTTTTTCAGGGTAACAACATCCCCAGCTTCTAGGGTTTCCAGATTTAGCAAAAAAAAAATTTTTTAAAGGGCACACAGTGAAATTTAAACTTTAGACAAGCAACAAGTAATGTTGTAGTATAAGTATGCCCCAGATATTAAATATATTTAATATCCATGAGTGGATTAGACCAGAATTTCATGAATGCATTAGACCAAGCATAACTTACCATCCTAAGTATTTAGTATAAGTGTGTCCCAAATCCTAATCCTAATCCTACTCTTATCCCCGGACATTCACTTTCTCAGCCTTTCTTGTACCTAACAGTGGCCATGTGATCAGTGAGAAGTGAAGTCCATCCCGGGGCTTCTGGGAAGAGATTGGTGCCACTATTTTTCCCTCTTCCTGCCTGGAGTGTGTATGTTAAGGCCCACATCTGCAGGAGTCATCTTAGAGCTGTGAGTTAGCAAGCGTGAGGATGAAATGAAGCATGCTAAAGAAGGTAAAGCGGAGACTCGTTCTAACCCTGTGTATCAGCATCATCAGCACTAGAGTCCCTACTTCCTGATTCCTTATGAGATAAATGAACTCATTGTTTAAGCCATGAGGTAGTTAGGGTTTCTGATATTTGCAGTCACATACATTCCTGACTGGTACCCCTCCCTCCCCCTCCTTATTCTCTCTATTCTGTGCTCTGTCTTACGGCATGTGCAAGGGCCTCAGGAACAATGTTCAATAGTGATGGCAGTAATAATGATGGCAGTAGTGGTCATCCCTCAACTGTCTCTGCTTTTAATGAGGAAATAGAATATTTCTAAAGTTTCCCTACTAAGAACATTGTTTTCTGTGGGGTTTTGGTTGAAGACAATAATCAGGTTCAGAAAATTCTCTTCTACTTCTACTCTGCCCAGAAGATTTTTCTTGTTATTAATGTTGAATTGTATTGTATGATTTTTAAATTTTAGTTATGTATTGAGATGATCACAGGGTTTTTTCTTTTTTAATCTGTTAATGTGGCGAATTGTATTGTTAGATGTTTCTAATGTTGAATCTTCCTCACATCCTTCCTTGATCATGATGAATGTAAAAAACGTACTGCTAACTTTTATTTAGAATGTTTACCTTTATGTTCCTGAGATTGATTTATATTTATTTTTTCTTGCAGTGTCCTCATCCAGTTTTGGTACCAAAGTAGCATCATAAAATCAGTTGGTAAGCGTTCCTTCTTCTCTTTTACTATGGAATAGTTTAATGTAAGAATTACCTGACCCTTTAAAGTTGGTAAAACTTCCCTATAAAAGACCTGAGGCCCTTTTTGTTTGGTATATTTGTGTGTGTGTGCATGTGTGCACATGTCCATGTGGAAGACAGATATTTTTGACTACCAAATCAAATTATCTAATGGTATTGTTTTCTTTAAGTTTTCTATGTTTTCTTTAGTTAACTTTGGTAATTTAGATTTTTCTAGGAAATTTTTCATTTTGTTTTTAAAAGTGTATTGGTATTAAGTTACCATATTATGTTTTTTTTAAAATTCTACCTGTCTGTAGTTTCTGCCTTTTTTCATTTTCGTATTATTTATTTGTTCCTTCCCTTTTTTAAAATTACAGCTTTATTGAAGTATAATTGACAAATGAAATTGTAAGATATTTAAAGTGAACATTGTGATGATATATTTGATATATATATATTTGAAAGGATTCCCCCATCTAGTTAATTAACACATCCGTCATCTCATGTTTTTATATTTTTTATTAGTGAGAACATTTTTCTACTCTCTTAGCAAATTTCAGTTATACAATACAGTGTTATCAACTATAGTCATCATGTTAGGCATTAGCTCCTCAGACATTATTTGTCTTGTAGCTGAAAGTTTGTACCCTTTTACCAGCCTCTTCCTATTTCCCCCACCCCTCAAACCCTGGCAACCATTTTTCTACTCAGTGTTTCTATGAGTTTGATTTTTTTTTTTTTTTTAGATTCCACATATAAGCTATACCATGTGGTATTTGTCTTTCTCTGTCAGGCTTATTTCAGTTAGCATTAATACCCTCCAGATTCATCCATGTTGTCCAAATGGCAGATGTTCCTTCTTTTTTAAGACTGAATAATATCCCACTATAAATATATGACATTAAGTTGTGTCTATACCTTGGCAATTGTGAATAATGCTGCAATGAACATGGGAGTACAGATATCTCTGGAGATAATGACTTCGTTTCCTTTGGATATATACCCAGAAGCGAAATTGCTGAATCATGTGGTGGCTCTATTCTTAAGGTATTGAGAAACCTCCATATTGTTTTCCATAGCAGCTTTACCAGTTTATATTCCTACCAACAGTGTACACTGATTCCCTTTTCTCCATATCCTCATTGGCATTTGTTATCTCTTGTCTTTCGGATAAAAGCCATTCAAACAGGTGTGAGGTGATACTTCATTGTTGTTTTCATTTGCATTTTGCTGATGATTATGACATTGATCACCTTTTCATGTCCCTGTTGGATTTGTTTGTCTTTTTTGAAAAATGTCTATTCAGGTCCTTTGCCCATGAAAAGATTTGGGTTATTTGTTTTTTTGCTATTGAGTTCTATGAGTTTCTTGTATATTTTGTGTATTAGCCCTTTATTGGATATGTGGTTTGCATATATTTTATCCCATTCCACAGGTTGCTTTTTCATTTTGTTGATAATTTCCTTTGCTGTGCAGAAACTTTTTAATTTGATGTAGCCTAACTTGTTTATTTTTGCATTGGTTGCCTTTGCTTTTGGTGTCAAATCAAAAAAAAAAAATCATTTCCAAGAGCTTATCCTCTATGCTTTTTCCTTAGGAGTTTTATGGTTTCACATCTAATGTTCAAGTCTTTAATCCATTTTGAGTCAATTTTTGTGTATGGTATGAGATAAGGGCCCACTTTTATTTTTTTTAATGTGGCTGTCTAGTTTTCCCAACACTATTTATTGAAGAGATTAACCTTTCCCCATTGTATATTTTTGAATTCTTTGCAAAAATTAATTGGCCATAAAAGCATGAGTTTATTTCTGGGATCTCTGTTTGGTTCCATAGATCTATGTGTCTGTTTTTATGCCAATAACATGCTGTTTTGGTTACTATAGCTTTGTAATATCGTTTGGAATCAGGAAATGTGATGCCTCCAGTTTTGTTCTTCTTCCTCAAGATTATTTTCACTATTTGGTGTCTCTTGTGGTTCTATATGAATATTAGGATTATTTTTTCTATTTCTGTGAAAAATGCTATTGGGTTTTTAATAGGGATTGCATTGAATCTGCAGATTGCTTTGGACAGTATGACCATTTTAACAATACTAATTCTTCCAGTCCATGAACACAGAATAGCTTTCCAGTTATTTGAGTCTTCAACTTCTTTCATCAATGTTTTACAGTTTTCAGTGCACAGATCTTTCACCTCCTTGGTTAAATCTTAAGTACATTATTGGTTTTGGTGCTGTTGTAAGTGGGACTGTTTTCTTAATTTCTCTTTCTGATAGTTGTTAGTGTATAAAAATGCAACTGATTTTTGTATAGTGATTTTTGTATACTGCAACTTTACTGAATTCATTGATTAGTTTTAATCATTTTTTGGTAGTAACTTTAGGGTTTTCAATATATATTATGTTATCTGCAGAGACAGTTTTACTTCTTCCTTTCTGATTTAGATGCCTTTTATTTCTTTTTCTTGCCTAATTTCTCTGGTTAGGACTTCCACAACTATGTTGAATAAAAGTGGCAAGACTGGGCATCCTTGTCTTATTCCTGATCTTAGAGGAAAAACTTTCAGCTTTTTTTTTTTGTGTGGTTCGTGGGCCTCTCACTGTTGTGGCCTCTCCCGTTGCAGGGCACAGGCTCTGGAATGCAGGCTCAGCGGCCATGGCTCACGGGCCCAGACACTCTGCGGCATGTGGGATCTTCCCGGACCGGGGCACGAACCCGTGTCCCCCGCATTGGCAGGCGGACTCTCAACCACTGTGCCACCAGGGAAGCCCTAGCTTTTAACTTTTGAGTATAATGTTAGCTGTGGTCTGTCATATATGGCATTTATTATGTTGAAGTATGTTTCTTCTATACCAATTTTTTGAGAGTTTTTATCATGAAAGGATGTTGAATTTTCAAATGCTTTTTCTGCAGCTACTGAGATGATCATATGATTTTTATCCTTTGTTTTGTTAATGAGGTGTATCACATTTATTGATTTGCATATGTTGAACCATCCTTGCATCTCAGGGATAAATCCTACTTGATTATGGTGTGTGATCCTTTTAATGTGCTGTTGAATTCACTTTGCTCATATTTTCTTGAGGATTTTTGCATCTGTGTTCACTGGGAATATTGGCCTGTTATTTTCTTTTCTTGTAGTGTCCTGGTCTGGCTTTGGTATGAGGGTAAATGAGTTTGGAAGTGTTCCCTCTTACTTTACTTTTTTGGAAGAATTTGAGAAGAATTGCCATTAATTTTTCTTTCAATGCTTGGTGGAATTCACCAGTAAACTCATCTGGTCCTGGACTTTTCTTTGTTGAGAGGTTTTTGATTACTGGTTCAATCTCCTTGCTAATAATTGGTCTGTTCAGATTTTCTGTTTTTTCATGATTCAGACTTGGTAGATTTATGTTTCCAGGAATTTATCAATTTCTTCCACTTCTTCTGTCTAATTTTTTGGCATATAATTATTCATAGTTGTTTCTTATGATCCTTAGTATTTCTGTGTTGTAATGTCTCCTCTTTCATTTCTGCTTTTATTTATTTGAGTCTTCTCTCTTTTTTTAGTCTAGCTAGAGGTTTGTATATTTGTTTATCTTTCCAAAAACAACTCTTATTTTTCATTGATAGTCTCCCTTGTCTTTCTAGTCTCTATTTCATTTCTTTCCACTCTGGTCTTTGTTATTTCCTTCCTGTATCTTTTGGCTTAGTTTGTTCTTAGTGTAAAGTTCGGTTGTTTATTTCAGATTTTTCTTTTCTCTTAATGTTGACATTTATTGCTATAAACTTCTGTCTTAGAACTCCTTTTTTTGCATCCCATAAGCTTTGGTATGGTGTATTTCCATTTGTCTCACGATCTTTTTAAATTTCCCTTTGATTTCTTCTTTCACCCACTGGTTGTTCTGGAGCCTGTTATTTAATCTGCACATATTTATGAATTTTCCAGTTTTTCTTTTGTAATTGATTTCCACTTTCATACTATTGTGTTTGGAAAAGAACCTTGGTGTGATTTCAGTTGTCTTAAGTTTATTAAGACTTGCTTTAATTTCTATTTCCCTAGTGATTAATGATGTTAAGCATACTTTTATATATATATTTACCATTCATTTGTGTTCTTTGGTAAAATGTCTGTTCAGATCTTTTGTCCATTATGTTATTGGTTGCTTGTTTGTTTTTTTCTTTTCTCTTTTTAAAAAAATTTTATTGAAGTATAGTTGATTTACAGTATTGTGTTTAATTTTGGCTGTACAGCAAAGTGACTCAGTTATACATATATATATTATTTTTCATGTTCTTTTCCATCATGGTTTATCATAGGTATTTTATGTTTTCTTAATAGCTTTTATAATCTATTTTTTTCCAGTGGATAGAGAAGGTATTTGGCTTTTATTTTATTTATTTTTTTATACAGCAGGTTCTTATTAGTTATCCATTTTATACATATTAGTGTATATATGTCAATCCCAATCTCCCAATTCATCCCACCACTTTCCCCCTTGGTGTCCATATATTTGTTCTCTACATCTGTGTCTCAGTTTCTGCCCTGCAAACCAGTTCATCTGTACCATTTTTCTAGGTTCCACATATATGCATTAATAAACAATATTTGTTGTTCTCTTTCATTTTTTATTGAACTCATATTATTTTTGAATTTTATTTTATTTTATTTTTATACAGCAGGTTCTTATTAGTCATCCATTTTATACACATCAGTGTATACATGTCAATCCCAATCTCCCAATTCATCACACCTCCACCCCCACCTGCCACTGCTTTCCCCCCTTGGTGTCCATACGTTTGTTCTCTACATCTGTGTCTCAATTTCTGCCCTGTAAACCGGTTCATCTATACCATTTTTCTAGGTTCCAGATATATGCGTTAATATGTAATATTTGTTTTTCTCTTTCTGACTTACTTCACTCTGTATGACAGTCTCTAGATCCATCCACATGTCTACAAATGACCCAGTTTCTTTTCTTTTTATGGCTGAGTAACACT